ATATATATATATACATACATACTGTATATATATATATACACACATATATCAAACTAAAAGAAAATGTTGCCTTTTCTTTACACCATAGAAGTCTTCAGATTTGTGCAAAGCAATAATTTATGAAACATGGATGAATATCTCTGCAGATATTGAATCAGRCCTTTTTATGGAAAGAAGCAATTTTTCAGATGAGGTCAGGGAGGTGATTTTCTTCACTTTTTGAGTAAATTTTGCTCTGATGTTGTGCTGAACCATCATGACCTTGGAGTAAAAACACTTTTTAACGATTTGAACCATTAACCTCTAATATTAACTCATTTACACAAAGACTGTATTAAAGACTGGACCCAATATCCCAGAAATTGAAGCTGGACAGGGACMAGCATCCAAATAAGCTGATTCCAGTACAATTTACCCTTCAGGTAAACAAACAAGACTTCTAAAATATAACACGTCTTGTTTATTTATTTATTTTTTGTTGTTGTTGATGTTGTTGTTTTTTGAATGTTTACTCTTTTCTTCTGGTTTTTGCTGTCTGTTTGATTGCTCATTTTCCCAACATATTTGGCTGTCATTAGTTATTTCATGCATTTAAAAAGTTAGTGTGTGCTAAAATGCTGATTCTTTCACTAGCAAGGACCAAACCATGGTAAGAGTTTAAAAATTTTATTGAAGGAAAGGGGTTGAAGGGTAGAGGGGATGAAGGAAGGGGTTGAAAGGTAGTGGGATGAATGATGAGGCGTCTGGGGAGGTACGTCGAAGGAGGCTTGAGGAGAAGACTCAGAGTGGGGCATAGCCTCCAGGAAGGATGCTTTCCTGAGCCTACTTTGGACCCCCAAAAGAATCAGGAATGAAATGCCCCGAGTCGACAGTTCACATGATAAGGTTCGAGGGGATGATCGTGGATGTAAGTGCGGTATGCTTGGGACGACCAGTGACCTAGGATCTGAATAACGTGGTCGAGGATCTCTGAATAGGAAGCTGAAGAGGCAGCTCCTATGCGAAAGGAATGGATGGAATAAAGGGCTGGAGAGATGCCTGATTTGCTCAGGACTTGATGGAAGTGTTTGGCAAACCAGAAACGGGTGGCCTGGCAGCCGTATTCTGTAATGAACAGAGGGTCAAGGGGAGAAGCGTAAGCTCTAATGCGAATTTGCACGTAAAGAGGTTCATAGGGGCTGAGAAAGGAGCTGAGACGAAAGATGTGAATAGGAAAAGAAGTTCCAAGCTGGTCGGTTTTACTTTTCCTGAGGTTGTAAATCAGGGTGTCCTGACTGAGGAAAGAAATGTCTGAGAGACACGGGTGGATGGAAGGGTCGTGTTTGGAGGCAGAAGGGGCGAATTYGGAGCAGCGAAGGAAACCGAAGAAAGCCAACAGAAACATGTATTGTAGTGTAAGGTCTACGAACGGAGACGTATGGCCGAAGCGCAGGGTGAGGATGCAGCATATGAGGAGATCGGTGGTGAGCGGAAGACGGCGTGGGAGGGAAGGGGGCTCCTGCTTTTTAAGTACTTTGAGCAGCATGGCTACGTGGCTGTGGCTAAGGGCTGGACAGGAGTTGCCTGTGGCCAGCTTAAAGAAAAAACTGATACCTGAATGGTAGGTTCGGATGGTGGAAATGCAAATTCGAAGAATGGAATGTGAATGGGCGATGAAATGGCAGATGGACATGGCATGGAGAGTGGGAAAAGGTGGAATGTACATTACGTGGTATGATTTGAAGCTGAGCCAGCCTGTCAGATGTGCCGAGAGGGTGCGAGGGGCGAGGCTGTTGAGGATGGCTCATTGTGAACCGTGGGAGAGGCTGGCAAGCTGCGGAGTCAGTTGAAGATTGTGGCTGAAAACGGAGGGACCAGTGTCGGATGAGGGTCTGCTGTAGGCGCCAATGCCCTGAATTTCAGGAAGGAGAAACGAGAGAGCGCATCAGCAATGCGGTTATGATAGCCTGGAACGTGAGCTGCCCTGAGCAGAAACAGATGTTGAGCTGAAACTAGTGTAAGTCTGTGCATGAGTTGCATGATGGCTGAGGAATGAGAACGACCTTTGTTAATTATTTCAACTACAGTCGTGTTATCAGAATGGATGAGGATGGAGTGCTGGGACCATTCGTGCCCCCAAAGGAGAGCTGCGATGACAATGGGAAACAGCTCATACAAAGCAGAAGAGGGAGAGGCCAAATCTGGTTGCAGGGAGTCAACCTCCGGGGGCCAAGTGGAGGCAAACCATCTGCCTTTGTGAAAACTGCCGAACCCAATGGAGGGGGCGGCATCTGTGTAGAGCTGAATGTCATCTGGATAGGAGATGAAATCATTGTAAAAGAAAGAGATGCCGTTCCAGGAAGACAGAAAATGGTGCCAGAGCTTCATTTCCATCCTGCAGGCATAGTCAAGCGTAAGACGGCCATGGAGTGACGGGACGCTGGCAGTGGTGGATAAAAGATGGGAAATGAAAGAYTTCCCCTGGGGTATGATGCGGATGGCATAATTTAGGTGGCCGAGAAGAGACAACAGCTGATGCTTGGTGCAGGAATCTATGAGCATGAAGTTAGAGAGGATCAGGGTGATGCGATGCACCTTCTCGGGAGGTAGGGAAGCCTGAAAGGAKGAGGAGTCTAGGGTGATGCCTAAAAACTCCAATGAAGTAAAAGGACCGATTGTCTTTTCTTCAGAAAGAGGAACACCTAGATCTGAAAAGGCATGGGTGAGAGCGCAGAGCCCTGAGTAAGGTGAAGAGGAGGGAGGGGTGATGATAAGAAAGTCATCCAGAAGGTGGAGAACGTAAGGGAGCCTGAAATTATTAAGAAGGATCCAGCAAAGAGCTTCAGACAGTGAATCAAAAATCTTGGGGCTACTTCGGCAGCCGAAGGTGAGCCGAACTGCAAAGTAGTAGGTGTCCTTCCAATACACGCCAAAAAAGCGCCAGAAGTCTGGGTGAATGGACAAGACCTTGAAAGCACTAGTAATGTCGGTCTTTGAGAGCCAGGCTCCCCTGCCCGCCAGACGAATGAGGCGGATGGCATGGTCTACGGTAGCATATTGCATGGAAAAGTCTGAGAAAGGGATGAGACTATTAATGCTTGGTACGTGGGACCCGTGAGGGGCGGACAAGTCAGTGATCAGCCTCTTCTTGCCTGAGTATTTTTGGGTGGCAATGCCAATGGGGCTGACACGAAAGACGGAGAAGGGGGGCTGGCTGAAGGGACCAATCATGAATCGGTCTTGGACTTCTTTAGCTAAGAGGGCATCAACTATGTCTGGCTCAGAGAGGGTGGACTGAAGGTTGCCGCAGTGGGTGGTGCGATCTGGGAGGGTCACTAGTCCCGGGTGAAAACCAAAAGTGAAGCCATGAATAAGAAACTCAACGAAATCCCGATCAGGATGGTGTTTTAAGGTAGAGAGTAGAGCACTCACCTTAATGGGCGTGGCCAGGTGGTGTGCTTGTCAAGTGGGGTTGTGGGGACAGGAGGACCGGGCATGAGCGCCGCCGCAGAAGGAGCAGGTGTGCAGAAATCTGCAACTAGAAACAGAGCAGCCCAGGTCGTTGAAGTTGTTGCACACCATGCGGTCGCCTTGGTAGAGGATGGGGCTGTCGCGTTTGTCGATGCCCCCGGGGAGAGGGGCAATGGTCCTGCGCTGAACAGGAAGGGACTTGGGGATTGGGGGAGGGGGTGGGGCAGTAGGAGACAAAYGTTCAAAAACAGAAGGGCCACGGGCAGTGGAGGACTGAGAACAGAGGGGCATGACGAAAGTGCAGGCGGTGGCGGGGTGTGAAGGAGCACCACAGAGACTGCATCTAATGGAAGCTCGAGGGGCGAGGACACGGCAGTAGAGCTCTGAGTCCAGAGCACCCCAATAGGTCCCCTGGTTAAACTGGGCTAACCGACCTGCTGCCTGAGTGGCAAAAAGGACATGGTACTTCACGTACGGGGGGCAATATTATAGGCAGAAACATGGGTGTGCCATGGGATCCCCAGTTTCTCCTATTGTTGCAAACCTGTACATGGAGGAAGTGGAAAAGAGAGCCTTGATGTCCTTTTCAGGGGTGCCACCGAGCCATTGGTTCAGATATGTTGACGACACCTGGGTTAAAATTAAAGCCCAGGAAGTCCAACATTTCACT